TGTGATACCCATTACATGAATTTATCATTATCAATGAAAAAACTCATAGATTACACAATATTCTCTTTTAGTTTTCAATGATCTTTATGAGTTTATTGGTTCAGAATGATTAGTTAGAAAACTCTAATTAACAAATTCAAAGTTGAAAAACAGAATATGAGTTTGAACGATGATTAAGCACACTTCTTTACCCTCTGTTCTTTATTTAGAAGATTTTGTTAGAGCCGTTATACATAACAACAAATAGATATAATTTAACGTTTATTATTTATTTAAAATAATATAATGATATGTAGAAAATACAGAGTTAATTTAATTATTATTTAGTTATAAAAATCTTTATCGAAAATGATAGTCTACTGTAGTTTTATTTCATAATAGATCCTTTCTACCAAAGACTCATAACTCTAGATGATTATTAGATATTGAGAAAATTTTCTATTTAACATACAAAATAATTTTACTTTTAGAAAATATTAATATTTTCTTCTACGATTAATTGTGCTTGAAAGTTGAATTATATATATATTTTTTTCAGAATGAATATTAATTAAATGTTTCTATCTAGGATGGTATAATACTACTAATATGAATACTAGAAGATGGCATCACACAGCATCTCTATTAGCAGATGGAAGTATTTTAATTACTGGTGGACATACGTATATTAGTGCTACGAATACAGTTGAACTATACAATCCATCAACAGAGACTTGGACATACACAAGTCCAATGAATTATGCACGACGTTGGCATACAGCGACTGTTTTAAAAAATGGTAAAGTTTTAATTGCGGGTGGGATTGGTATTGATGGTTATCTAGATAGTGCTGAGTTATATGATCCACCAACTAGAACTTGGTCAATTGTTGATAGCATGAGTTCTACAAGACATATGCACACTGCATCACTCTTGCCAAATGGAAAAGTATTAATTGTAGGTGGGCATACTTATATTAATGATACCAGTTATTCCTTAAATACTGCTGAGTTATATGATCCAATAACAAACACTTGGAAAAATACAGGTAACATGAATTATGGACGAGAAGAACACACAGCATCTCTTTTACCAAATGGCAAAATATTAATTACTGGTGGATACAGTGTATCCGGACAACGTTTCTTAAAGAGTGCTGAGTTGTATGATCCAGCGACAGAAACTTGGACAATTACAGGGAACATGAATTATACACGACAATCGCAATCAGCATCTGTGCTCAAAAATGGCAAAGTTTTAGTTGCTGGTGGATTCAATAATGAGCATCTACGGAGTGCTGAGTTGTATGATCCATCGACAGGAACTTGGAAAATTACTGGTAGTATGACTTATCCTCGAGGTGATCACATAGCATCCGTATTACAAAATGGAAAAGTATTAGTTGTTGGTGGATTTAGTGGCAAGAAAATAAATACCGTTGAATTATATGATCCATCAACAGAATATTGGGCAACTTTAGAAAGCATGAATTATGCACGATTTTGTCATACAGCATCAGTACTATTAAATGGAAAAGTATTAGTAACTGGTGGATTTACTAATAAAGAGTCGGATTCGAATACTTCAGAATTATATTAATTATTTAAAATAAATAAAGAATATAATTGACTTTCATCTTTCACAAGATGAATATTACCCGCAAGTTTTATCCATAAAGTCTAATTGTCTAAATTAATGACGATGAATTATTTCCATAGGAACATTTTTTAGTCGACGTATCTGTAAAAAAACAATTTAAGAATAGAAAATCATTTTCTTTACTATAGTTTTGATGCTTGAGGCTCTTTCCATCCTAAAAATTCATTTTCGTCAAATTTTTTAACTTTTTGATTTAAAGGGTGTCAGATAGAGCAATGTATAGTCAATTGAACTTACTATAGTTTATTCATTTTCTGATGAGCTTTAAAGTTGTCACACGAGTTCTCTGGGCGTGGATGTTATTTGTTGAGAAAGGACACAAATTATCTACCATCTGATACAAAGTTAATTATTCATTTTCAATCAAATAAATATTTTATTTAAGAAAAAGACAGGGTAAAATTATCATGTAAAATATTTTTTTGAGCTATCTTTTATAGAACAATCAAACTTTGATGTTGACTACTAACTTAAAACCGATATAGATACGACTGTACTTGAAGTTATTATACACATTAACAAAAAATACAAGACAAATTAACTGTATGTCATCACGAGTTTTCTGCCATTTGTATTGTCTTCATGGAAAATATTCATGAAAATAATAACTGGTTAACCATTGTCGAATATAACACAGCAAATTGACATTGCAACACGCAGAAAAATAAATCGAATGATAATCTACTTGATGAATTAGAATTATTTAAGTATAAAAATTGACATCATCAATTTATTCTAGTAATAATTTTATCAAATCAACCACTCATATGTGATCATTTAAAAGAGTCTATTTGTATTCTTCATTAATTTAGTATCAAATTCACTATAGCATATAGTTAATAAAGAACGAAATGATCTATTTGCTGAAAAGTATTGACCTAACTCTCAACAATTAATTAATTATTTCTTGAATGGCTACCTCATAATAAAATATAATCATTTCTTCATGAAAAATTTTATCTTTGTATATTAAATTTCCTTCAAAATCAATTTCAATTATTATTCAATGATTCACCTTCAATTTTAGCTAAATAAAAAACAATTTATTAAGCAAAATAAATAAATAATTATTACTGATTTTCACATTCAAATTAATTCAACTGAAAAAATACATAATTTACTTTCTATTGCTGAGATTTCTAGATACTCTTTATTAATGTTTGCGGGTGTGGTTGTGGATGTGGGTGCTGTTCTTTTGTTTATTCACCCACACCCAAATACACATGGAGAACAAGATATTGAACACAATAAAGAATATTCCCTAGACTGAAAGGATAAGGTCTAGAAACCGGAATTGTCGGTAACATGGCACAAGTGCCCATTTTTATGGCACAAACGACTATTTTTTTTGGCACACGTACCCTTTTTTCGGCACAAGTGACCATTTTTTTGGCACAAACGACCATTTTTTTACTAAAATTAACTAGGTAACTATGGTACAAATGAGCATGTAACTATGGCACAAACGGTCATTTTTTTGGTACAAACGGCCACGTAACTGTGGCACAGGTGACCATATAGCAATCATGGTAGAAACAACTATTCCGGTAACTATGGTACAAGTGACCATCTAAAGACTGATGTAAATGAACCCATAATAATCATGGGTAAAATGTCAATGGAATAACTGTAATTCGGGTAGTGATGTAAAACGGCTTACAAAAGCATTTAATTAGTGAGAGTCAGACCAAATGAGCAGAATGGATTTAAAGAAATCGTTTAAATTATTCATTATTGTAGGATTGATTGTGCAATGCCGTATCAATGAATATCTAATTTATTAATAGTTTAGAATTAATGCGCGAATTTAATCATAAAATATTGATTAATAAAAGTCAAATTTTATGAATAATATAATTCATATTTTTGTACGTACAAATAGCGCCAATATAATTATAAAAAAATCGTATTGTTGTCTAATCTTATTGGGCGCTATTTATATTTATAGAAGCAAAAACATAAAACAAAAACGATAAAAAAAATTAAATTTGTAAATGCATCATCTTTACTTAGAGTGAGAATTCTCCAAATTAAGTTTTCTGGTCGCCTAAGATATACTGGTAATATTATCAATTTTGCGTATTACTTTTTTAATGTAGCTTTTTACGTTATTACATCCGTACATGTATTCTATCAGTCTAGGGCTAAATGAATCGCTTGACGATGAACGTTACTTGTTAGATAAATGCGAATAGTGATACGAGTGTGAATGTCATGGGGAGAAATGTACAATCACCCACAGCTGTATCCATACCTACATCCTGGAATGATTTCCAGTTACCTTTAGCCTATTAAGTGCATTTTTGCATATGTGGGTAGAAACTCATCGTTATGATGAAAAAAAAAACGATTCTTTCTTTATTTCGTCAAACATCGAGAGTAAAAATAAAACAATGATACTTATTTTTTTCAGCGGTATAGTGATGACTTTCACAGTTTATTTACCTATGCAGGACATGGAGACAGAACGATTGATTGAAATGAAACTGAGAGTATTTCAGCTATTTGTTTCTACAGAATAGATCTATTTTTGAGCAGCGGGACATGAAGATACTGAATTACTGGGTGAAACAAAATAGAGAGTACTTCAGATTTTGTCCTATAAAATACATTTATTTCGAACAGCGGGACATAGAGATATTGAATGATTGACTGAAATTAAATTGAGAATTATTGAGCTATTTCATTCATTTTAAAGAATAGATTTTTTTTTCAAGCAACGATATATAGAGAAATCGAATGATTTATGCTATTTAGAATAACAGCCAATTGATTTCTTCATTAATCGAGTAAAAATTTGACTATGAATTGTTTGTTGGTTATCTATTCGATTGACTTATAGTGAGAAAGTTTAGCAATTTAAGATTGTAGTTTAGAATTGAAAATGCTCATTTGTTTTGGCAATGATTCACATGAAAAAAATATATATAGTTTACGTAGTTAGAAACAAAAAGATATCAAATGTGTTTCCTTGATTGGATGTACCATAGGAATAAACATCAATGAATAAAATTGAGACAATTCTAATAGACACTAAATATGAATGGTTAAAAATGAAAATTTTCTACATGTAAGTGTTTTGAAATACATTAAAATAAATCATAAAAGCTTGATCAATCTTGCAAAATCGTTAAAATTACAATAGTTGAATACAATAGTAAACAAATATTAATTATTGTGTGACTCATACTATTAATATGCATTTCAAATCCAACAGAATTCTCACGCCAACTGTGACGTATTCAGTTCAAACTAACAAATTATGCGTGTCCTTCGCATACGTTTTCCTTTTATGGGAAGAAAAATATGTGTATAAGATGAAAGAGTAATCATTGTTTGAGAGCAACATCATATTGCCATATTTCCTTAGTTGCGTTTCTTTAGTAGACACTGAAGCTGTGCAAAGTAAGTGTTCCATTGGATGCTTCCAGTGCTTTTCTCGACCAGTCATATCTAGTTATTGAGTGCAGCTTGGCTTTCTCTTTTTTTTTTTTCATTTCGAATTTTACTCAACCTAGCATCCAATCGATCTAAACATGTTTCTGACTTTGTACTTACGAATAACTAAAAGAAAACAAACACAGACAATTAGTCATACAAGTAAGTTTTAATGTTGGTTTTTATGCAATTCTAAAGCTCAGCGTTTTTTATCCTCTCTACCAGTTTTTCAATGGGGACCCTGATAAACGGTCACAAGTGATTAATTATATCTGCCATATGTTGCCGAAGATTAGAGTTATCTTTAGAAGTTGTGTCTTAAACTTTTCCGTGAGATATCGTTTTTTTTTAAAGAGAACATGGTCAGATAGAATACTTATAACTTTTTAACAGAAAGAATTGGAGAGCTGCAATTCTCAGCATTTGAAAGAGTAACGCAAAAGTCAAGCCATTATTGCTTTCCATTCTCTGAATAAAGACATTTTCTCTAGGAGCCATGGAATAGGAACAGAAACAGATATTGATTCATAAGTTTTTGAGCATGCTGATCATCGAAGCGATGTTTAATTATTTCATGTTTAGACAACTTTATCTAACAAAAATTTTGATGATCAACTGTTTCAGAATTTGAATTTTGTTCGATCTTAGGTAGAGTCGTGCAGAATTCGCGTTCTTTCATAATTATTGTATCCGTTTTACGTGATTTTTGGTAGAGTACGTGTTAGTCCAAGAAGACACAGTTCAGCTTTGTAATTTATTTAGTTAATAATTAACACATTTTAAAGGCATTGTTTTTCAACTTATTCTTTAGATTATTTCTTCCACTAAAGAAATGACTTGGACATACGCTAATTGGGTTCTATGTAACGTTCTGATTGGTATTGGTATAGTTTTACTTAATTCATTAATTTTGGGAATTCTTTTATGGCGTTTCGATTCAATATTTTATGGTATGATTAATAAACTATTTAATATAGAGCGTTGCGCTATTGACGTGCATCATACTGTTATTCGAAAAAATTCTGAAATATATACTCCAAATACTGGTACAATGAAGCTGACCGATTTCGTTACAAATCTTCGTCATTGTTGTAGAAAATTTGTCGATGAAAATTCTATCACACCTCAAGATAACACTACTCTTGAAAACCAGATTACCTTGTCAAAAACCCATCACTCTTTAGTGAACATTTCTTCGAACTTTGACAGAGAGAGGGCGATAGAACCTGTTTTGAAAATATATGAACTTAAAGAAGCTGATTCGGTAGAAGAATTGACGGATGAGGATAAGCCAGACCACAAGTTTACGTCAACTCGAAATCATATACTGAAAAATGGTGTCACACAGTACATTGGATCTACAAATGTGGATGCAAAAAACCGTAGAACTTCTTCAGCCCGATCGGTTCTATCATCATCATCAAAATCAAACATCGCACGCCGACTCTCGAGAACTCATCCATCACATCCCGAATACGAACGAACAGTATTGAACGTATATGGGAAATATCTAACTTTGAATAAGAAGAGAAATAAGTTCTTGATAATGGTTTTAAGTGTCATCATCGTTTCATCTGTAATCATTGCAGGTTTCGAAGGTTGTATATTAGCCAGTATTACTCTTTATCAGAATGATCTCTGTCCAGTTAACGGTATAATGGAATGTTTTCACGGTGAAAATCATACTTATTTTGAATGTCAACCTGGTCAGAAAATCGATTTCCCATTACTGACAAGTAGTGCCTCATGTTTTCGATGGATCGCACGTGATAAGTCAGTAACGGATGTGATGACACAACTCGGTGTTTGTACAGGTTTATTGACTGCTTTTGGAGCATTGGCTGAAGTTCTAATACGTCTTTTGCTCTACGTATTTCAGCAACGTCGAGGTGTAGCAGCAGGCATACGTCGCATAATGGAGAAAACAGTTGGAATAAATCGAATTACACAACCGTCTCGTTGTTGTGGTGCTTTACTACCATGTCATTTCAATATAGGCATTCTAGGCTTGTATGAACACCCTTGGTTGACTGTCATACTTGTCAAATTTTATATTCTTGTACCATTACTCGTTGTCGCTGCATTTGCTCTCCTATCGAACTTTAAAATCAGTATAACATCATTAACCTATATTATTCTACTTACACTCGTGCTACTTTGCTCCTTTGCTCTGATATGGATAGTTTGGGAAGCAGATGAAATAGGTAGAATTATACCAGGTGGATGGATGAGTATTCAAGATATACTTTCAAAAAGTCAAATAGGAAAAGTAGCACATTTAGGTGCCAATATAGCTTCAAAGAGTCACTTTGATAAAGTTATTAATATAGCTAATGATAAAGTTCTAAAATTGACCAGTACGATTGAAAATAGACTTCCAAAAAGAGCAGTCGAACAATTGGAATGTGTTGTTGAAACGACATCTGAAAACTCTCAATATCATAAACAAGGAACCAGTTGGGCTCACAAAATAATTTCAAGAAAAGAATCAAAAGAACATGGTAAGACAGTTGCTCTTCAGAGTTAAAAGGAAGACGATGATATGATTGAAGCCTCTTTGAATACGATGTGTCAATTTTATTTCAGAGAAAATTGAAATTTTCGAATGTTTTTCTGAATTATTTCAATAGAGATTTGCGTGTATGTTATTTATTTGTGTCTTCAATACGAAATCAAAGTTCTACATCACTTACAATAAGATACGAGAAATGCTTGAATAGTCTAGAAATACGACCTGCGTATGTTGCTCGTCTTTGTTGTTTCAAATAGGTAAAATACATGTATATATTAAGCAATCTCAATCCTCATGATGCTCGCCTTCTTTTTCTCATTCAACAACATTTGATAATCGATTGTTTTTGAAAGCCTAAAATTTTGCTTCGATTCATAGAATATAAGACTCTTGTTATGCTTCGTGAAAAGAGTCACCAATCTGAGAATGAGCACTATCTGAAGAATACTTAGGTTCATTGAGAACGATTCGTAGAGAGTCGTAATAAAAGAAAGAGAATCAATAATTAAAAACTCTCATGCATACACTAGGAGTAGTGATGTATGACAGTAAGTTGAACTGATAGAGAAGAAGATGTACAGAGTAGTATTCCCTCAAAGTAAAGTGATATACTGTGTAAAAAACTCATTTTATTTCTGAATGATTTTCTAGAAAGTCAAGCATACCTAAATGTTGGATACTTTCCGCGATATGAATAGGTTCACAAAGGTTATTTCTAGTTTTTACGGCACTATTGCTAGCATATTCGATATGAGCATTAATAGCAATCAATCCAATGTAAATAGATCATAATAGAACAAGTTTAATTAGAAACTTTAATACTGATCAAAGAAATTTTCTTACAGAAAACAACCTTTTTTTTGTAATTCAATCGACAACAATATCGGTCAGAGATTGAGTCGAATCAAGTTCAATTTAATTTAATTTAGTTCACATTGCATCGATTCACCAAAAAATACGCTTATCTATCATAAAATGGTTGATTGCATTCGTCTAGTCTCTTATTTATCGGACTTCACTGAAACTCATCATCAGACGATGATTGCATAAATCTCAGCTTTACTGAATATACACGAAATGTACCTGGCAAAACACTTATTCATTTCGGTTCAAATGTACAGAGTAGTGCCAATACACATACTTGATTGTTACGTTTTTTTCTCTTTTGCTTTCGTTTTCCCTATATAATTATTAATTTATCATCAACACTATTGTGCTTGACACATTGCAAGATGAAAATATGTAGCATCCAGCTAACTTCTCCGAATTCCTTTTGCAGATTTCTTTTTTCTCTAGAACTTAGTGCTCGTTCAACAAAAGCGTCATCAATCATAGGAAACAACGAAGCTACTCAGACTCAAAAACAGAAACAACTCACATCAAAAGGTTCGTTTTTTTACTCTATTCTGGTATTTTACCAACACTCTATTAGTTTATAGAACTTGGCATACTTGAAGAAGCTACAAATTTTAGTAAACAAGGTAAGAATTATATATTATAGTTACCTTTACTAATGGATTTTATTGATTAGATATTCAAGCATGGCATACTGTAAGTACTCATACGTTATCGACTCTTTTGATTGATCATCTGTTTATTTTTACAAGGGCTTTCTTCGTGATTGTCCGAATGGCGAACTCGACAAAGAGAAATTTATTCGTATCTTCACAAAATTTTATGTCGATGATCACAGAGCAGACTCTTTCTACAAGTATGTTTGTGGATATACTACATGAATATTTCGAATCTTTATATATCGTTATAGATATGTATTCGGAATGTTCGATAAGGACCACAATGGCACAATAGACTTCTACGAGTTTCTTTTAGCTATTTCTTCTAAAACTCAAGACAACCTAGAAGCACGACTAGAACTCGCTTTTGACATGTATGTTGATGATGACACATTTTCTTATAACTAATTTTGTTATCATAAGGTACGATGTTTCAAGTACTGGAGAATTAGATGAGGAAGAATTAACTAATTTGATCATAGCCATGGTTAGAAAAACATATTCTTTTTTTTGTATTAATTTGATTCGAAGAATATTTTCTTTTTAGTATGATCTTGCAGGTGAAACCAATCGTAAAGGGGAAAATGATCCAAAAGCACGAGCCAGTGAAATCATCAAGAAACTCGATAAAAATCACGATGGCAAACTAAAGAAAGATGAATTCATTGATGCGTATGAATACAGAGTGAATAAAAATATTTTTCTGAGAGAATAATGGTATGTTTTCAAATAGCAGCTATAATAAATTCGATACTAAATAATAAAGATAATGGCTTATTATATAGTATCAAATTCACGAAATTCCTAGCATTTTACATCATATTAACATAGGAAAATTTCTTTGACGATGTAGTTCAAACTATATCTTATTTAAAATGATAAATAAGACAAAGTATTTCACAGCTAACTTGGAAATTTTGGAACAATAATAAAAAAAACTCAGACTGGAATTAAATGCCATTGAAGACGGAACAAAATCGTTAGGATGAGAAACTCTGAAAAAACACATTTCAGATGTTCTGGCACATAAGAGAACAAAAATTCAATTATTTGAAACTATGCCGTCTCTGTACTCGTCTAATCTTCATGCTGTAAAGAAATTTGATGGTCATCATACTAATTATTGGTCATATTCGTCAAATCTTAGGAAATAAATTATATTTTTTGTTATTCATCATTTTAAATACAGTATAATTTGCGCTATCCCATGAAATTAATTTTTCTATGTCAATATGATGTAAAACTCTAGAAATTTCTTGAGTTCGATATTGTAAAATAGCCATCATCTTTATTATTTAATATCGAATTTGTTATGGCTGCTATTTGAAAACATAACGTTACTTTTCTTGACATGTATTTTTATCCATCTTGTACATTCTAAACCTTATCTTTCTTATTTTCCGTCTTTCACTAGGTGGAGAAACAATCCAGATCTTCTCTACATGCTTGCTCCAGAAGTTTGAACCATACGTGTAAAACAACATGCCATTTTTATTTTCTTATTTATCTGTCTTGTTTCCACCGTAAAAAAAAACCAAAAATATTCTAGAGTGTACGAACAAGAAACCAATAAAAAGTGGCTAAATCGTGCTAATAAAAAGACCAAATATATATCCAGATGACTGAATCGTTGGCTAGAAAGACCAACTCGTGTTGTTCTACACTTGCTTCTAACACTGTCGTAGTTCGCATTAAACTATTACGCTTTTGTCAGCACACTAAGTTTATCGTATTTCCGTTTTGCATCTCCACATATAATTCAGTTTTGTGTAAAAGTTTCTTGATAACACATCAATTTGCCTAATGACTTACAATATTGGATTTGATATAATATCGGATGTTAAAACCAGTAGAATTTCGACAAAAAAAAACATTTTTGCAATAGCAATCAACGTGACTCGCCAAATCTTTTCGGTGTTCAAGAAATTTCATCTTACCAAGTGACCGATCTGTGGACTACCTTGCCTACCTATCATCAGTACGATGCTGGTCAAGATGATGAGAAAGACAAGGCGGAGTTTTGGGTGTAGGTAGGTATGAGTGCGGATATGAGAAAAGGAGTAGTAAAACCCAGACGCATTTAATAGGACTTGCCAATGAAGCCTATTACATTTTAACAAGATATTCAGTAGAAAGATACTTTCTTCTCTTTTTTATTAGAGAAAAAGTTTACATATACTATGTCATCTACCTTACCTACACTATTGTTGAATTGATTTATTGGATTAGGGATATACTTTCCTTAAAAACAATGAAGAGAAATAATTCTCACAATCTGAATAGAACGTTTTTTATTTTCATTGCTGTCTCATGATTGGCCTCTCCTCCTTGTTGTTTCTACTTTTATCATAGCAGCTAGCACAACATCTTCAAAAAAATGTGTGTAAATCCTTCTTTCTCTTCGACTTCATGTTTTGAATGGCTTATCGATTTTTTTCTCACACTAGGTTTCAGCGTTTCAAATAGTATACTAAGAAATAAAGATCGCTAGGAAAAAGAAAAACCAACTGACAGCACAGATTGAAAAGGCCAATATATAAGAGAACGAGTCTCTGACAGTAACTTTTTAGCAGATAAAAAACACTTTCAGTGTGCTAAGTCACATAAAAAGAAAGTAAATCGTCATTTGTTTGAATAAGACGAAAATATCGGTGAAGAGCTTACAGAAATAAAGTGACAGTTATAAAACTTTGTTGTAAATCGACGCTTTATATCATCATTTGGAACGAAATATGGACTTCACGATTAAAAAGATTGACAGTGTAATTTTTCGTCTTGAATGTGAATCTAAATTTTAGCTAGAGTTTAATTCGGTTCAAGTTGTTTATCGTAAGATCTTTGTTGTGTAATCAGTATGCTGTGAATCTTTTGTGATTTTCCTACTAGTTTCAAAAATGACTTTACTGAGAAAAATACTTAAAACAGTATCTCTTGAAGCCAAACTAATTGATATTTTCTGTGATCAATGTGATCAATGATTAAGTTAACTGGAATATTTTCTATTTGACTTTGCCTGATATTATTCAAAAACTTTGATCGGAATTATTTCGTAGTGGATAATGATCAAGTGATATAGAAAAAAGAAACCTTCATGTCTATGGAGATGATAGAGTTCCCATGTCTTTCATCCCGGCAATTTCCCGCCAGGATCCCGCGAGATCCCGTCCGGGATCCTGTGCGGGATCCCGCTCAAAAAATTACGGGATCCCGCGGGATCCCGCAAGATCCCGACAATTCCGCGAAAAATGCCGGGATTCCGACTGAAATTACTGTTATATTATTGCCATAAGAAACAAAAAATAGTCGATCAATTCTCAACTTCATCCTTTTTTTTTGTTTTTTTTTGCCATATTGTTAAATTTGAGTACTGTATTATCGTGTTGAACCCATTTTATTATCGACTAATTTTGATATTTTTTTACGTGTTCAAAACGTATAATAAGCGAGAAAATCAAGAAATAAGAAAAGTAAAAAAAGAGTTTTATCAGATTAATCATATAAGAACAGCAAAAATACAAAAAATAAATTAGTTGAGATCATATCAATCATATTGATATGTACATGCTCTCGTAAAAAATTATACAAAATTCTACGATTGTGCTGATGGATTTGTTTGAACTGTAGTTCGTTGTGTTTTTAAACCTTTCCTAGTATTCTGAAGTTTGTTTAAAAATGTTTTATGTAAATTACACCATTCAATGTTAAAAATATCATCTGATAATCGAAATATATTTCGAACAGCTTCTAAGAGATGTGATAAGCAATATATGAGACTATTTTTGCTAAACAAACAAGATAAAATAAATTCTTAGTCAAACCTTGTATTAATTTATAACCATCCTTAAATTTAACTTTTGTTGCATCAAGTTGCTATAATTCGTTACATGTAAAATAATATCAATTAATGATGTTACATATAACTTCATCTTTTGTTTAACGCCAGTTATTGATGATAAATCAACATTATTTCCATTATTTGGATTTTTATACATCTAAAAAATGAAAACAAATCTTATGAACAATCGAATAGTATAAAAAGGGGATGAAAAACATTTTTTAAAAGCTTTCTCTTCACATATTATTACTCTGTTTAAAGCCGTTTGAACGTACCATTATTGTTTCAAATAGTTTTTCTTCAACTGCTTGTTATACATTGGGTTCTTCTAATGATATTTATATCTAAATGGAAATAAATAAATATAAAAATCATATCCATAATAGTCAGTATTTAACCGTGCTAGTTTGTAAAATTGCACCGTTAATTTGTGTGTGATTTTACTAGAATACGTTTTTAGATTTTCACTCTAGATGGCCTTTGAAATTTGTAGTCTTGGTAACTTACGAAAAAAGATTTCAGATCGTAATATTTTCTGGGTTATTCTTAATCACGCAGTACACGATAAGAAGAAACTAGCCCCAAATGAAACCTTACCGCAACATCTCTGCAGCTATCGCAGAAAATGACTCTTCTTACCTTTTTTTTACATAAGACTTTTTGTAAATAGAAGTGAAGGGAGAAATTAGTAAATGACTGCTACGAAATACATGAGAATTTGTAACAAAATTCAATGGTTATTTTTATTTATTCGAGCTTTCGATGAAATGCTTCCACCATCATCAGGAAAGATAACAAGA